AGGACTCCATCCCAGGACTACAGGATCATGACCTGAGCTGAAGGCAGTTGCTTAACCAACTGAGCCACCCAGGCGCTCTGAAATTCTCCTTTTTGATGGGGTCTTTGCCTAGTTTGGGGATCAAGGTAATGCTGGCCTCATAGAATGAGTCTGGAAGCTTTCCTTCTGTTCCTATTTTTTGAAACAGCTTCAGGAGAATAGGTATTATTTCTTTTTTGAATGTTTGGTAGAATTCCCCAGGGAATCCATCAGGCCCTGGACTCGGTCTTTTGGGAGGTTTCTGATCACTGCTTCAATCTCGTTACTGGTTACTGGCCTATTCAGGTTGTCAATTTCTTCCTGTTTCAGGCTTGGGAGTTTATAGGTTTCCAGGAAGGCATCAATTTCTTCCAGGTTGCTCAATTTATTGGTATATGGTTGTTGATAATAATTTCTTTTTTTTTTTTTAAGATTTTATTTATTTATTTGACAGAGACAGAGACAGCGAGAGCAGGAACACAAGCAGGGGGAGTGGGAGAGGGAGAAGCAGGCCTCCCGCCGAGCAGGGAGCCCGATGTGGGACTTGATCCCAGGACCCTGGGATCATGACCTGAGCCGAAGGCAGTCGCTTAACCAACTGAGCCACCCAGGTGCCCTTGATAATAATTTCTAATAATTGTTTCTATTTCCTTGGTGTTAGTCATGATCTCTCCCCTTTCATTCATAATTTTATTATTTTGGGTCCTTTCTCTTTTCTTTTGGATAAGACTGGCCAGTGGTTTATCGATCTTATTAATTCTTTCAAAGAACAAGCTTCTAGTTTCGTTGATTTGATCTACTGTATTTCTGGTTTCTATTTCATTGATCTCTGCTCTAATCTTAATTATTTCTCTTCTAATGTGTGGCTTAGGCATCATTTGTTGCTTTTTCTCCAGTTCTTTAAGGTGTAAAATTAGTTGGTGAATTCGGGATATTTCTATTTCTTTGAGTGAGGCTTGGATGGCTATGTATTTCCCCCTTAGGACCACCTTTGCAGTATCCCTGGGACTGCTAGCATGGTTCAACATTCACAAATCAATCAGTGTGATAGAACACATTAATAAGAGTAGAGAGAAGAACCATATTGTCCTCTCAATTGATGCAGAAAAGGCATTTGACAAAATACAGCATCCTTTCCTGGTTAAAACTCTCCAGAGTATAGGAATAGAGGGAACATTCCTCAAGTTCATAAAATCCGTATATGAAAAACCCACAGCAAATATCATCCTCAATGGGGAAAAACTGAGAGCCTGTCCCTTAAGATCAGGAACATGACAAGGATGCCTACTCTCACCACTATTGTTCAACATAGTACTAGAAGTCCTAGCAACAACAATCAGACAACAAAAAGAAATAAAAAGTATTCAAACTGGCAAAGAAGAAGTCAAACTCTCTCTCTCGGCAAATGACATGATACTTTATGTGGAAAACCCAAAAGACTCCACCCCCAAATTACTAGAACTCATACAGCAATTCAGTAATGTGGCAGGATACAAAATCAGTACACAGAAATCTGTTGCTTTCTTATACACTAACAGTGTAACTGTAGAAAGAGAAATTAGAGAATCGATTCCAATTACCATAGCACCAAAAACCATACGATACCTCGGAATAAACCTAACCAAAGAGGTAAAGGATCTATACTCTAGGAACTACAGAACACTCATGAAAGAAATTGAAGAAGACAGGAAAAGATGGAAAAACATTCCATGCTCATGGATCGGAAGAATAAACATTGTTAAAATGTCTATGCTACCCAGAGCAATCTATACCTTCAATGCCATCCCGATCAAAATTCCGATGATACTTTTCAAAGTGCTGGAACAAACAATCCTAAAATTTGTATGGAATCAGAAAAGACCCCGAATCGCCAAGGAAATGTTGAAAAAGAAAAACAAAGCTGGGAGCATCACGTTGCCCGATTTCAAGCTATATTACAAAGCAGTGATCACCAAGACAGCATGGTACTGGCACAAAAACAGACATATAGACCAATGGAACAGATTAGAGAGCCCAGTTATGGACCCTCAACTCTATGGTCAAATAATCTTCGACAAAGTAGGAAAAAATATGCAATGGAAAAAAGACAGTCTCTTCAATAAATGGTGCTGGGAAAATTGGACAGCTATATACAGAAGAATGAAACTTGACCATTCTCTAACACCATACACAAAGATAAACTCAAAATGGATGAAAGACCTCAATGTGAGACAGGAATCCATCAAAATCCTAGAGGAGAACATAGGCAGTAACCTCTTTGACATCGGCCACAGCAACTTCTTTCAAGATACATCTCCAAAGGCTAGTGAAACAAAAGCGAAAATGAACTTTTGGGACTTCATCAAGATAAAAAGCTTCTGCACAGCAAAGGAAATAGTCAACAAAACAAAGAGGCAACCCACAGAATGGGAGAAGATATTTGCAAATGACACTACAGATAAAGCGCTGATTTCCAAGATCTATAAAGAACTTCTCAAACTCAACACTCAAAAAATAATCAAGTCAAAAAACGGGCAGAAGACATGAACAGACACTTCTCCAAAGAAGACATACAAATGGCTAACACACACATGAAAAAATGTTCATCATCATTAGCCATCAGGGAAATTCAAATCAAAACCACATTGAGATGCCACCTTACACCAGTTAGAATGGCAAAAATTGACAAGGCAAGAAACAACAAATGTTGGAGAGGTTGTGGAGAAAGGGGAACCCTCTTACACTGTTGGTGGGAATGCAAGTTGGTACAGCCACTTTGGAAAACAGTGTGGAGGTTCCTCAAAAATTTAAAAATAGAGCTACCCTATGACCCAGCAATTGCACTCCTGGATATTTACCCCAAAGACACAGATGTAGTGAAAAGAAGGGCCATATGCCCCCCCCCCCGTGTTCATAGCAGCAATGTCCACAGTAGCCAAACTGTGGAAAGAGCCGAGATGCCCTTCAACAGATGAATGGATAAAGAAGATGTGCTCCATATATACAATGGAATATTACTCAGCCATCAGAAAGATGAATACCCAACTTTTACATCAACATGGATGGGACTGGAGGAGATTATGCTAAGTGAAATAAGTCAAGCAAAGAAAGTCAATTATCATATGGTTTCACTTATCTGTGGAACATAAGGAATAGTATGGAGGATATTAGGAGAAGAAAGGGAAATATGAAGGAGGGGAAATCGGAGAGGGAGATGAACCATGAGAGACGATGGACTCCAAGAAACAAACAGAGTTTTAGAGGGGAGGGGGTTTGGGGGATGTGTTAGCCCAGTGATGGGTATTAAGGAAGGTATGTATCGCAGGGAGCACTGGGTGTTATACAAAAACAATGAATCATGGATCACTACATCAAAAACTAATGTATTGTATGGTGACTAACATAACATAATAACATAAAATTAAAAACAAACAAACAAACAAACAAAAAACTAGGTCTCCTTGGCCCCATGAAAATCCAGCAGTGTGGCTGGGCACCTGTTCCATTGTTCCCAAATTCTCTATGACAATCAGGAGCTGGTCTGCTGTGAACATCTAAGCTCTTGGGTGGCAATACAACCTCGCTCACTGGATGCCAGCCAGCCTCTGTAGTGATGCAATACAAATTACTCTTTAAATAAGTACATGCACACACATACTGTTTGTTACACATATTCTGGATACAAACACCATCTATGTGTTCAATATGCTATGCATATAATTATCAAATGTGGAGCCACCAAACTTCCTGTGTGAAAAAAGAGTTAATAATAAATAGTGTTATGATACCCCAAGTTGACTACCCAAGGTTAAGTTCCCTTGGATTCAGACATCTGGCCATGTCCAGCAGATTGCTGGAATTGGGACACATGGAATCAACTTGTGAGGAACCATGACAGGAATAAAAATGTATGAAAAGCAAAATGAGGAGTGTCTGTAACCTTTCTATGGGGCACTGAGGGTCCAAGGCAGCACCGGCATTCTTGGCTGTACTGACACCAGCTGCAACAGCTGGGGCGGGGGTAGGTTTTTGGTGCCTGCACCAGGTCCTCGAGGGCCTCTAATCTGTTGGCTGAGGGTCAGGAACTAAGATATTTCTCTGAGGAACCCCAGAAATGGATGGGACTCCTAACTGAACTTCCACATTCTCGTCTATGACATAAGAGTCAGGAACTGACCCCACCTACACCTTTGAATTCTTCTTATTTTCTATACAGGGGGAGCTGGAGCGGTAAAAGAGATTATGAGTCATCTCTGGGAACTAACTGGTCTTTCCAAAAAGAAAAGGGCGGTAATGGCATCACTGGGGACAAGTAACATGGTATTAGTACAGAGCTAGGTCAAGTCACAGTAGAGTTTCTAAGACAAGAGGTCTGTGACAAGATATGGTTCATTTCCAACACAGAAATTCTAGAAGTTTCTGGAAAGATGTGAAGCTACTATTTACTTAAGCAGCAATTGATCACAAATACAGAGTCAAAGGGATATTCCATTATGACACAGTACAATATTTCCTTTAAATGTTGATATTGATATGCTTCATATTATCCAATCTTGTAGAATGAGCACAGTCCACAGTTCATTGTATTTGAAGGTTTATTTTATAGAAAAGAGACCAATCACGTTTGCTCACTGAAATTAACATTAAATTCCACAGTAGAGGAAGTTGTAAACAGCTTCTCTAGGAGGAGGGGATGCTAAATAACTGAATTTGAGCCATTGATGGTAAATGTGGTTGTTCCTAGGGACTCAGTCCACATGGCCTTTCCCCATGTCCTATGTTCCAAGTTTTCTGATCCTGTATTACCTAATTTTCTTTTCTATTTGCGCCCCTGTCCTTCCACTCCTTCCAGTACCTATTAATTAAATCTCTCATCTCTCCATTCCTTTTTACACTCTGTCTTCCCCCCTCTCCTGCCACTCCCCCCACCACCCTCCTGACCCTTCAGCTCTACTGTCTCATTTATCTGCTTCCCATCCTACTGCTCCTACCCTCTGTGTCTCTCATTTCACCGTATCTCTGCCTTTTCCATTAGAAGCCTCCTTTTGTGTCTTTGCTATATTCTCTTTGCCCACAACGGGACATTTCTGCTTCTCTTTCCATCCATTACTCAAGCTGGTTTTGACAGAAAATGAGTTCCTGTCCTGGGATTTCTTTTTATTTGACTGTCCCATCTTAAATGATACATCGCTTATCTGAACACCCTTTCACCAGATTCCTTATTTTAGATGGATTCAGGGAGAATTCCAAATCCCAGGCCCCTTTATGCTTTATAGATTTCATTTGTTCTTTAAAATGCATCCACTCCTGCTTTACCAAGGGAGAAATTTTGAGGGAGAACTTTAGCTCAAAGTTCGAAGAGGTCTCTTTTTTTAATATGTCCAATATAAACTGCATACTGAGGGTCATCTCCTCATTCTCTGCCTTCCCCTCTTCATTCAGAAGCCTACTCAGTTCTCTGCGGGACTCTTTCCCCATTTGACTCTGGTCCTCTATCAGCAGGTAGGACATGGTATGAAAAAACTCCTGGAAGCTAATGTGGCGGAAGGTATAGAACGTCTTGATGTCACGTCCCTCTTGGTAACTCGTGCTGCTCAGGAAAGCATCAAGCCTGGTCACATCTAAATTATGCTTCCTGAGGTCAGCTTCTTCAAACATGAACCCCTGGTGCTAGATCCCCTCAGCTGCTAAGGAGCACAGACTGCTCAGGACCCTGTGCCCGGTAAGCTGGAAGCAGCCTGCATTGTCACTGGGCAGCAGGAAGGTGGAGACATTAGGCCATGAAGATGTCCATGCCATTACTGGGAGTCTCTGAGATCTGTCTGCCCCTCTCCATCTGTTCTTTGAGCCAGGAGCAGATCACCCAGCAAATGCCTGGAATTTGACATGATTTGTATAGAACGTCATTTCCTTGTACAATGTCAAAGGCATTTCTGGCTTGCTCCTCATCAGTGAAATACGAGCTGAAATACCTCCTCCTCTCATCCTCAGAGAAGCCTAGGATGTGAATATGGTGTGATTGCTTCAGCAAGGGCTCCAGATTCCGCAAAGCCACGGGCCAGGTGGTGATAAGGAGTGAAGACCTGGGAAACACCTCTCTCCTAATTAGATGGTGCAGCACGTTCTCCATGGGGTTCGGACTCAGCCTCTTCAAGCCCTTTGCAAAGGGCCTCTGCAGTTCATCAAAGCCATCCAGGATGAACAGCAGCCGCTCCTCCTCCCTCAGCATCTCTTTGACGGGCCCCTGGTCGTCCCCACAACACCAGAAGAGGAGCTGGTCCGGTTTGCCCTCCTGCAACAGGACCACTTCTCTGCAGCTGACATAAAAGACATAATCAAACCGGCCTGGGTACAGGGTGCCAGTGGCCCAGTCCAGCACCATTTTTCTGGCCAGCGTTCTTTCTAGTGCCGGCGGACCCTTGTAACACCACTGTGGGTGGGACTTGGTAGGGCTTTTCTCCTGGATAAAACAGAGTCTCCACCGAGACAGAGTCCAGCTCCTGCTCCGGGAGGGGGCAGGCAGACGATTCTGGGCTCCCTGGGCTAGCCTTGGCCACAAGGAGCAGTTGATCGTAGCTGCCGCAGATTCCTCCCTCTTGCCTCTCCTCTAGGCAGCGCATATGCTCTCGGTATGTTTCTCTGTAATCTGAGCCAGACACATGGGGTTTTAGCGGGTCATAGGGGAATAAAGAAAGATAAAGAGGGCCCTTCAAACTCTGGACTCTGCTCTCTAGCTTCATCTTGTATGCTCTCTAACTTGTATCTTCCTGAAGTTCATACTTCAAGCTTCAAGGGGAGGGACCCCTGGATGTGTGTGTACCTGCACACAGACACATGCATGGTGTGCATGTGCACATCCGTATGAGTATGCAAGTGTGTGTTTTGTGTGTGTGCATATCGGTGCGGGATGAGTGAGTGTTTGTATCCACACAGGCTCATGAGAGCACATTTATGCAAGCTTGTGTATTTTTGTGTGAGGAAGGCGTGTCAGTGTGCATCAGCCAAGTGGGCGTTTGTAAGAATATCTATGTGTGCAAAAGTGTCTGTGTGTGTGAACATCTGGGTGTTCCTATGAAACATCCCCATTTGAAATGGTGAGGACAGGGTGGAGAAAGGAAAGGGAAGCTGGAGGATGGTGAAGTAAGTAATAGAAGCCTGTTCTTGGCAATGATCAAGCCAGGTGCTCAAGATAAACCAGCTCCTGAGCAGAAGCCCTGACAGTATGTCAGAAGAGCTCTCGGGGTGACAGGGGCTTATGGAGGGAGCACAGGCACCTCCCCTGGCAGCCCACAAGAAGGAATAGGAGACCTTCTGGTTTCCATGCCCACCTTGTTCTCTAGGGCAGCATCGATGTACCAGATCCTTGAGAGAGCAGGACGCAGGAGCAGGCTGTCCTCTGTGGGAAGCGGCCTGAGCTGCCTGCTGGGACAGCAGCTAAGGAAAGATCTGACCCCCACCCCCACCCCGATGCCATTTCTGCTGGTTAGTGGAAACCCCTTCACCAACACCACGCTCAATCTCTAAGCCCCTCTCCTCTACCCTCCTCTTCTCTGGTACTACAACTGGAGGTAGGAGGTGGGGCATTATGGCCACAAGATAACTAGTCTTTCTCTAAGACTCCACCCTCGGCTCAGGCCCTACCCCAACGGCGTCAGAGCCTTCAGCTGGAGACCACCAGGACCCTGGGCACTGGCGCTCCTCGGCATAGACCGGGGGCAAGAGTGAGAGACAGCATAAACCACAGGCTGGGGGAGTCTCTGGAAATGTCATGGGGGTGGGGGAGTCCTGGTGGCACCCTGAGCTCCCCTTGTTTCCTGCGGCACTCACCGTTCAGACAAATGGGGCTGAGCCGGTCCGCAGGTTCCAACAGGTTCATGACCCTCAGGACGCTGAGCACCACCTTCATGGCCTCCCACACTCCGTACAGGGAAATCAGCCGAGAAGCCAGGTCCACAGTGCTCAGGCCCTCCAGCTCCCTGCGTGCTAGCGGCAGCTTCCCCTCAAGCAGGCTCCTGTCCCGTAAGTGGAACTTGAAGAGCTTGAAGCTTTTCTCCTCAAGGTCACTCAAGGCCCAGAGCAATGCCTTCTGGGGGTTGTGGGTCTGGGCCATGGTGTTGGGGTGAATGGTTGAGTTCAGACCAGTGACCGGGAGAAGCAGGAGAGAGGGGAAGAGAGGCGGGCGCTGAGGGAAGAGCAGCCTGCAGGCACCTCAGCCACTCAGCTTTCTGGGTGCTTAGCAAGCTGCTGAGTGCGGGCCAAGGAGAGAGGAGAGAGACGTGTGCCAAGTTCCAAGAAAGGCGAGCAGGTGGGACAGCAGGGAATTTTCTTCCTCATTCTGCACTGTGCCTCTTTGTGAGCTGACGTGTGTCTGTGCTCTGTGCCAGCAAATAGGAAGGAAGGCATGTGGGTGGGTAGGTTCTCTCCATCTCTCTCCTCCTGCCTCCTCCCTCTCATGCACACTGTTTACTAAATGCCTGCATAAGGCAGTTTGGGTTAAAAATATATGCTTTTTTTAAGTTTTACAAGTGACCCCCTCCCTGACTTTGTGAACCTATACAGAGTTGGAGCATATTTGCTGGGACTGCTGAGGAATGGCAAGAAGGTAGAAACTCTATATTCATCAGCCCCTTGGCTTCACACAGGATTTCAAAACTGGAAGTCTTCTAATTCAGATAAGGAAACAAGTTCAAATAATAAGAGAAACAGCTGCTTTGAGGGCTCACTAGTTATTATCTCTTTTGATCATCACAGAAACTGTCTCGGGGATCGCTCCAGATGAGAAATTTGACAGAGAAGAGTGGTTTTCCAGAATTTTTCAGAGCTGGACCAGTGGGCAAAGAGGCAGGATTTGAATCACAGCCTCTGACCTGGCTAAATAGGGTCAGAAAGAGGTGAAAAGACAAAGCCATCCAAGACAGAGGCAGAAAGCAGGTCGTTAGACTGACCACTGTCCCACACTGGAGACATGTGTAGAGATGAAGCAGCAGTGCAGGGAGAGGAGGATCTTGAGTTGTGGGGTGGCAGTCTTCAGAAGAAGAGAAGCAACTATTGGCAGAAACTTCCAGAGTCCAGAACTAGCCCTCGGATCTATAGTCAATGGGGACTCCATCTCTGTAGCAAAATGTCTGAGAGCTAGATAAAGGTATTTGGGAACAGGGAAAGTTGCTGAGATTCAAATATCAGCATTTTAACTACACACCAAAAACAGAGAAAAAAATTTAAGAGTATGATAGAATACAAGGGACTTTGAGTGCTAGCCATGGGGTAGTTCGCAAAAATAAACCTGTTGACATAGGAGTGATTTACAATAAAGCCTCAGACTCCCCTGAAAATCTCTGCTGTTGGCGGAGCTAATTCAGGAAAGAGCAAGAAAAGATGGCACCAGAGGCTGCCAAGGAGATGTGGGGTCTAGGCTTCAGGCCATTTGGACTCAAAGAGCTGGAGGTGAGGCAGGGATGACTCACCTCCCTGATGCAAGAGCCCAACAAGCCAGGTCCTGGGGATTGAGTAGAAACCGATTTTTTTTTCTAGTTCAGACAGACCCCAAGCCAAGCCTGGATCCACTTAGCCTAAACCCACTAGTTCACATCTGCTTGGTGGTGCTGGTATTAAGAGGATGGCTGGGGGCTCCTGGGTGGCTCAGTCAGTTAAGTGTCTGATTCTTGGTTTCAGCTCAGGTCATGATCACAGGGTGGTGAGATTGAGCCCCGTGTTAGGCTCCACACTGGACTTGGAGTGTGCTTAAGATTCTCTCTCTCCCTCTCCTGCCCCTCCCCCCTCTCTCTCCCTCTCAAAAATAAAAAAATAAAAGGACAGATGGGACAACACTGACACCTCCCCTTTGATACCTAACAGGCCCTAGAATGCGTGGGCTGGAACAGATGAAGTGCACCTGGGCCTCCTCGGAGAAACACAAACAGCCACACGTTCCATCTGACTGTCAGTGGATGAGTATTGCTCACCAGAGGAGAACATGACCTCATTCCTCCACATATTACGTTGAGAAACAAAGGAGGGGCCAAAGAGATGACTTGTTCTGTCACCAAGAAAAAGAAAGGGCCCAGCAACCCCTTCATCTCCTCTCTGAACCCCCAGTGCTCTCCTACAACTTGAGCCAGGCCAGACTGGGGCAGTTTGACTTGAGAAGCAAAGCAATTGAGGCGCTGTCACCACCATGTCCTTGGCCGGTTCTTTAAGTTGTTGAAACCACTGGAGGATGTGCTCGACCAAAGTGAAAAGGCAGAAGGACAGGAGCTCCATGAAACAGGAATCCAAACAAGGAGGAAAACAAAGTCCCTCAAGGCAGTTGGTCAGAAGGCCTAGAGCGCCATGACAGGACAGAAGCCCTAACTGAGGAGAACGGGGCACTCAGACCATCTCCAAGGGAAGAAAACAACTGACAGGTTAACTGATGCTGCCAGGCCCTCTGGAAGACCCTACCAAGAGGCTACCAGAAGGTATGGAGAAACTAACATTAAGTACCAAGAAAACTACACAGATGGAGAAAATAAAGAAATCACTAGTTCTAGGAAAAACAAAAAACAAGAAAGACAGAAGTTTACATAAGAGTAAACTACAACATGTGGGTGCCTGGGTGGCTCAGTTGGTTAAGAGTAAACTACAACACTCAGGTGTGAATAATGTTTGCATAGAAATAGTAACAGAACCACTGAATATTGATCTAACTAAAATGTACAATATAATCATATTGAAAGGACAGTGGTAGAATGTTCTGGAGTGTTCTGGCATAGGAAGTCAACAGATAATGCATAAAATTATGAGTCAAATGTAGCAGTAGACATGTATTATTTAGAAGTGCAGAGATGCAAGAAGGAACAGTTCAAATATATAAGTAACTGCTTCAGAGAAGAGAGACTGGAGGTAGTAGTGTGGGGGGCTGTGGAGGTGGACCAGGAAAGTACTGGATTTGGAGCATAAGCTTTTTAGTGTTAATTGACCTTTTAAACTATGAGCATATATTACTTCCAAAAAATAAAAATTAGCAAAGTAAGACTAGGGGATAAAGAAGCGGAGATAGTAATACTGTACATCATATTTGAAAGTTGCTAAGAGTAAATCTTGAAAGTTCTCATCACAAAAAAAGTTTCTGGAACTATGTATAATAATGGATGTTAACTATATTTATTGAGGTGCTCATTTCACAATATAAACATATTGAATCATAATGCTGTACACCTGAAATTAATATGATGTCAACTAAACCTCAATATGAAAGAAAGAAAGAGAAAAAGGAAGGAAGGGTATAGACATACTTTTCAGGGAGCTTGGTGACAAAAGGAATTGAGAGGTCCTGAGAAGATGTGGGGAATGTGGGGCCAAGAGAAGGTCTTGTTTGTTTTAACATGGGGGAGAGGGTGGGAAGGATTTGAATGCTGACAAAAATCATCCGACAGAGGGATCGGGTTAGAAATGCAGACAAGAGAGAAGTACAAGGGGAGAGAATTGGGCTGTGGGTTGAGGAAGGACCCAAAGCAAAGGCAAAAGATTGGCCTTTGACAGGAAGATGGAGGGAACATCCTCCATCCGTGCCTGAGGAAAGCGACAAGGTTGTTCGGCAGAGCAAGGCAGGTCTATGGGTTTTGTGGTCACATGAGGGTACTTGTGGATTATGGTCCCTGTGTTCTCTATGAAGGATGAGTAAGAGCATCTCCTAAGGGTGAGAGGGCTGGAGAAGAGGGGAGAAGCCATGAGGGAGCAGCTTGGAGCCTCTCCTGTGTACCTTTTCCTCCCCGTCCAAGGCCTCCCATGCCCAGTGCTCAGTGAGTTCTGCCAGAGTGCGGAAGAACAGGCAGGAAAGGGAATTGGTCTCTCCCAGAGCCTTAACCAAGCTGAAGCTAGAGACAGAAGCAAGACAGCAAAGAACCAAGCCCAAGAGACAAAATGGGAAAATTGAGTGAGACAGCCACACAGATCATGTGATGCAGAGAACAGAGTCTGCTAGCTGAGAAGGCTCTCAGATCAACCTCCCCTAGAAGGTTCCGGGTCTGGAGATGATGGATCAGGGATTGAGAGTCACACCTGAAGGAACAGAAATGAGATGTTAAAAAAAAAACAAAACTGATTTTAATTGAAGGGTGGAGGTAGGATATGAAATGAGGCCTCCCTCCCTGTTCACCCTGGCTTGGCTGTGGGTGGAACTGACAACTGGAGCAACTGAGTCCCAGAAGGGAAAGGGTGGAGACAAAAAAGACAGAGATCAAGGGTGGAAACAGTCAGAAAAGAGACACAAATAGACAGAAAAGAGGAATAAGCAGACAAAACAGGAAGTCCAAAAGAGAGAGACAGAGAGATGAAGCTAGCTGATGGGCATGGGTCTCTCTTTCTCTCTCTCTCTCTCTCACACACACACATGCACACACATGCACACACATTTATACACTCACTCTACAAAGAGGGTTTTTCTTAACAGCAAACTCTCAAGAAACAAGAATAACTAGAAATATGTGTGGAGGAATTGGAGTCTCTGAGTCAAGCTACCAGAGTCCCCTGCCTGCATTGTAATCTTTCCTCACCCGTGGAGGCAAACGTGAAGGCAAAGTTGAGTCCACATCTTCACCCTCCTGCTTCCAGGCCTCTTTCTGCCTAAAATAGGCAGGGACCCCAAACCCAGACCATCCCTTCCATGCAAGGGGCCCTTTGAAGAGGTACCTTCTGGTCCCCACAATGGTCACCATATTCTCCTTTACAGCTTGGTCAGTTCTGATGAAGTTAGCATGTGAGCTTGGTAAGTTTAAAAGTCCTCTTGAGGACCCTCGTGGCCATTTAGAAGTATCCATCTCTGCTATGAGAGGCTGTCTTTTTTCAAGAGCACTCCCACATGGCCTTGGAGGAGAAGGAGACCTGCCTGCATCCTCCCCATTGACTTGGCAACTGCTGGCAAGATGGTAGTCAGAAAGACAGGCAGGCAAAGCACATACGCAAATCAGAATGAGAATGATCAGAGCTAGAGCATTTCAAAGTTCTTGTATCATTGGTGGAGCTGTTTAAACGCAGAACAAATGAGTTAAGTGCCTGGTAACTTCTGCACCTGTGTGCTGCTGGAGCACTAGCTCTCCATCAGTCAGGAAGGGAATTGATGTTGAGGACAAT